AAATTTTCGCTGTCAGTGGGTTTTGAACTCACAACCTACCACTTGGGGGGTTGACAACTTATCCACTTCACTAAGTCATCACACTCCTAACTCTAATTATTAATTTACTTTTTTATTAATAAAAAACTTTAAAATTAAACTATTTTTTAAAGAATTGCCTATTTATTTTTTTTTTATTAAAGAAATATTATGAAATATCTAAACTATCTTTGTTTAAGATATTATAATATTTTTAAAATATTACTTACTTTCTAATATGTCTTTAAAATTATTTACATTTTACAACTTTAATTATATAAACAATGTATAAGATTTTATATAATTTAAAGATACCTTGTTATAATATAAAAAACTTCATCTAACCTTTTTCTTTCTTCATATTAACAAGCAAATATTATTAGAACTTATAAATAAAAACATTATTTAAAAACAACAATAATAAACATAAACATGTTTTCTTTATTTATTACAATATTATTTCTACAATATACAAAGAATTTTGACTTATTTTTAGAGTAGTTTAACATGATTTTGTCTTATTAGCTTCATTTTTTTTCAACTTTCAACACTAGCAAAAACCAAACTTATTATACTCTCTTTACTTAATGAAAAAATATATCATTACATCACCTATAGACAGTCTTCTCTTTGTTATTTTCTCAAAAACTAGAGGTTTACTATCCATTTTAACAAAGAATAAGTCAAGAATAAAACAACTCTTACCTCTATTTTCTCTAGTATAATTTCTTTGTCATGTATCTTATATAATTAATTAATAAAAAAGATAGAGGATAAACTTTCCTAAAAAAAATATATTCTAGAATTGGGTTTAATACTAAATACACCTACTTTAATGTACTGTACTAATAAACATTATTTTTTATACTAAAACAATTCTAATTATAATAAAATTATCCAAATGATCCAGTTTACTTGGTATCAAATCCAGTTTCAACACACTTTTTATTTATTTTATTTTTTATAAAAGTGTTCATTAACTCGGGACGCGCATGGGCGTTAATTGAAATTGCTATTTTTAAAGGACCCGCTTTTCAAAATAACACCCACAAGGTTATTTCTAATTTATGCGGTATACTTTTACAGCTTTTAATCTTTAATCACATTAGTCCTAAAGAAAACAGTAATTTTCTATAGAGAACTTTTTTTCATACAGGACTGAAAGTTTATTATAGAAAAAGTTGAATGATATTATTTACATATAACAATGATCAAAATTGAAAATATGTTCAATTTTTCAATTCTTAACGCGCTCTAGTAAAAAAGGTTCATTATAAATTTACTATATAGATAATTAAACGCAATACATTTTTATTAAATCTTTAGTTTTATGCAAAACGTACTCACATGGCCTACTAATTTTGTTACGTAACAGGTAATAGGCATGACTCTGAAAAAAAAAAGTTCAAATATAAGACTAATATTAATTTCATTATACGTAATTAATAGATTATTTAGGATATTGTCAATAAAAATCGAGCAGATTTAATTGATAAATCAACTTGATTTCTATTGATGGCAGCCTATTTGAAGTTTCTATAAATTAAATAAACGTACTATAAGATCATAAATATCGATATGTTACCATATATATACCATGAATGCTTTCTTTCGGTACTGTACTGTATGTACGCACGTACCTAGGGGAATTCATACTCCGGAGTACTCAAGCCAGATTGGAATGAGTTATAAAATATGTTAATAAAAATAAAAAACCATTATAACAGTATATAAAATATTCAAACCAATTTGCCAAACTAAACTGATTTGATTGAAACCAACAATCCATACGTACCAATATACCTATTTCAAGTAACACTTTGGGAGAAAGATACTACATTTTTAATTATTTAATTCACGACCAATAACGTTCATATTTCTTGTTATGCAGTTAATATAACTACTCATCACGTTCAAATCAACAATCAAAAATATAGGCTTTATTTGTCGTGAGATTATGAGATACAAGTGTTTGTGAAAGATTTAAAGATAAAGAAAATCTGCGAATGCATAAATTTTAAGAGTGCGAGTTATGTCATTATTATGCGATAGTTCCATATATGGCAAAACGGCATTTGTACGTACGTACGAACGTACCTAAAATTTATAAAAATGTTGAGTAATCATTGAACCTTAAAAGCCACACTTATGCTTTAAAGTGATTAAGTCATACCCATAAATTATTATATGATCTTTCAAGCAAACTTTCTCGTATCGAAATTAACAAGAAAGTTTTGGCAATAAAGTCAATGAAAATTATAGTAATATTGTTGTAGAGGAAACTATGAAGAGGGGATTATTTTTATTAGTGAGGACGGAATATGGGATTTTCCTGGAGTTTTTTTTTTTTGTGAAATGTGAAATGTGATGCAAAACCCTATATGACACATCTATTCTCATTGCTTTATTCTGCAGTACAACTTATGAGATTGTATTGCTGAATAGAGTCTATGCGTATTTTATTTTTTTTTTTGAAAAGGTAATAAAAATGATTACATGAGTGTAAAAACAAACAGTAACTTCTTTGAAACGGTTCTGAGTTGATAAGTAAAAACATGCAAATTTAATAATTCATAAACTTAGATGCCTCATAATTAAATCTTTCATGACGAAAGAATTGCCTTAAAATATAAAAAAAAGAAACTTAAAGGTTGACCATGTAAAAAGAAAATTAACAATGACCATAAAAAAAAGACAATTAACATTGACCATATATAAAAAAAAAAAAAACTTTCTCCATTTCTAATCTTAATGCCATAAAGTGCTTAAAAGACCTTAATTTGTTTTTTTTTAGTTTCGATGAATTAAATTTTCAATACTATACGAATTATATTTTCCTTTTCTGTCTTTTTCTTTATGACTCGATGAAGAAGACTTCTCGACATCACTTGTATCATTTGTTTCAACTATTTCGTACTCACTAGAAGTGTTTTTGACCTTTTCAGGTTCACTTCTTAAAGGAATGTTAGCACCTTGTTTTGCAAAGCACTTTGTAAGCTGCGAACATTCTATAAAACGATGAAAAAAAAAATATTAAAACTTATTAAAAACTATTAAATAGAGAAATCATAACACATTTTCTTACCAACAACGCCCGGAAATTGTTTATTCCGGAAAACCTTAAATTTGGCAGAATCAATTGAAGCCAATTCTTTTATTGGGCTAGAGCCCATATTCAGAAATCCTTCCCTATAATTTTAATCATTATGATTGTTAACAAACATTCAAATGTACATATATAATATTCTCATACTTACCATCCAAGGTAAAACAATTGAAATCTTAGAAAATAATCATTCTCTGTGCGAACACCGAGGTTCGCATAGATGAACCAGAGTCCTTTAATTCCATGTTCATCTGTATAAATATGACAAATTTCACTTCTACAACCAATAAGGTTGAGAACTTTTTCTTGAGAATGTTGCGGGTTTGAAGATTTCACCCAGACGGTTGTGCAATTTGCAGAATCTAGATCATGGAGACTAGCATGAAGTTGAAAAAATTGAGAATCAACGTTCCTTTTTTTTTTATTGAAAAAAAGGAACAAAATTAATGAGATTAATTTGAACAAGATAAAAGAGATGAGAAAAAGTACAAAGTAAATGAAATATATAATTAAAAATGAATTATTGAAGTCACATACTCAATGTTCACGGGACCAGAGGAATTGAAGACCGTCAATTTTATAAATATCGGAGGAGAAATCGATCGATAATCCTAAACAAAAAACCATATATACAATTAATCTACAGTTTAATTTCGCATGTATTGATATCTTGAATTAATATTTGAATAATGAGTTAAAAACATTTTCTAATATTAAAAAATGGCATTAAAAAAACATATAGATATATATATTAAAAACTTGATTAATACGACATTTTAATAAATAAAAAAATCAAAAATTATATAATATTTCGATTATATTTAAAATTTGTATATTTTATGTTCGTTATATCTGGAACTGATTATATAAAAATTACCTTATTACCATAACCGCAAGCACGAGCTCGAATAGGCTGTTGAACGATCTCTAAATTGAATCTCCAATCTGCGGGTAACCTTTTTAAAAATTTAAAATTAACCACAAGTTTTATTCATCATGTTTATAAACTCAAGTAGAATGCGCGTTCACACCAAGATTATAATTTACCCATTAAAATAATTAGGTTGCCTCATATAAGTGCTTTGCATATCAAGAAAAAATGTGTTTTGTAGTTCCACAGAATTTCTTCTTCTCTCTCTCGCCTCTTCTTTTTCTAATGAAATTTTACTTCGATGATTTCGAATTTTTGAAGCCTTTAATCGAGGGATTTGTTGACATTCATCGCTCGACATAACAAAAAGACTTTCTAGGCAGCAGATAAAAAGTCAGGCTATGATCTTTAGTGGTAAAGAAAATTTAAAAAAAACTGAGAGAATGTGTTGAAAGGAGGTCATCTGAAAGAGTTTTTACACGTAAAGTCCAAAATTGAACCCAACATTATTCAAAAAAAGACAATTCACCTATTAATAAAAGCCTGAATAAACAAGAGGATAGTAGTTTCTCGTTGAAAAGAAGTCACGCTTTTACTAACAGGGAAAAAAAAAACTTTTACTTTCTTATATATTGTACGTGTACAGTACTTTAATGTCGTCGGTCTAGTGTCATTGTAACATAAAGACTTAATATAGCTCGATTCGTTACACGTTCGACTAATATATAAAAAAAAAATTTTTTAAACTATGATTAGGGTATTCCGAATTACACAAATCATTCGAAGTCAATAATCTTTATAAAACCCCGGAAAAAGAACTTTCCGAACTACACAAATAATATTTCCGATCTTGCCGTTATCTAGTGGTTCAAGCGCAATTACGTCAATTTGATTGCTATTGCTGTTCAATTGACTTATATTAAAAACCGATTTGTTGTAACTTTTTATATTATCGTAATTAAGTTATGAAAATTCGCTTGTACCACTCTGCCATGTCAGAATTGTCAGAATTTTCGGAGTATTTAATTTATACATTGGTAATGGTACTGTTTTGTCCAACTTATTAATCTTTTTTGCAATATATATACATATATATATATATATATATTATAGATATAAAGAAAATAGATTAAAATACTTAACTTTTTGGTTTCTTAGAGTTCAGGTTAAACACGCGCATAAAGTCATATAAATTCGCCTGGCCTAAAATGCGAAAAAAAGAATAGCATTTAGAGAACATTCAAACTTGAGACAAACGAGAATAGCGGTTATTATATAAAATTTGGTGATTAAATGAATTTTTTAAAAGATTTCCTTGAGAAGTTAACCTTCATTTCGTGTGTTACATTTAACTTTCGATTAAAGGTGTCAGGACAAATATTTAACATGTCACTAATAGTCAAATAGTCAAAAATATAAATTATCCACTTTTCGACCAAAATATTTAAATTAATTATCACATGGATTTATTTAATAAAAAAAAAAACAATTAATATTTTCACTTGAAACCACGGATATTTCTAGAATAAGGGCTATTATGCAGAATTTTGTAGAAGAAATGTGAATGGGTCCAAGAACTCGGAAATAAGAAAATGGCTAATAACGGCTTTGTTTTGTTTGCTTATTTGAGTTACCCCCTAAAGTGACGTCAATTACAACAATTACACAAAGAAAATTTTTTTAAAAAGTCTATCTGTGTAATACGTCTTATTGCCGTTATTGGTTCTATACCGGAATCAGGTCAAGCTGACAAAGCTTACAAATACATAAATATATAAATATATATTTATTACTTTTTTTTTTTTTTTTTTTATTTGTGCTTGTTTATTTCAGGGATGACTTTAAACTTCAAACGATACAATTGTATAAGACTTGTGTTACTTATATGCAGAAACTATCCAAGGGTAATACCTGAAAAACTTGTGCAAAAATCCTGATTATTTATAGTTTGTTACTAATAAAGGTCTTAAATTTACTAAGCCGAATCAAAATGTTGATTATGCAAAACTAAAAACCCTTTCCCGAAATTGACATTTAATCATTCAATCAATGAGTGACGCCAAACGACTTGTTAAACTTGTATGTCTGGTTTTCATTTGGCGTCTCATATAATTCAAAAAAAAAACGTCACATGGTTATACGTCACGTAGCATACGATTATTGGACCACATGAGAATTATATAGCATACATCGTTTGACATTGGGCATGAATTTGGGGTTTACTAATTTTCCTCCAAATTCCTAAGTTCTTATTGAATACTTAAAAATTCAGTCTCTGATTGGTCGAAATGAATTACATCAGACTTTCGATCAGATACTACGAGTACAGCATGCGAATGTATTGTTGCTGTTAGGATTAAAGTTAGGTAGTAACTAATCCTAAAATGTTACGATGAATTTTTTTTTATTAGGACACAAAAGGGAGTTTCATAGACAAAACTTCAAGCTACTAGAGGTTTCTTGAAATTTCGGCAATTTTACATTACACATGATCTTGTAATTTGATTGGTAAGTAAAAAAAATGACATTTACATAGTCCAATCAGAATTTGGAGAGAAATTAAAGCACCCTGAATTTTGATATTTGATCTATTTGATACTTAATTAAGCGCGCAACACATGGTTTATAATGATAAATATGACAAATATATATATATACTTTTTTATATTGATTTATATTGATTTAATAAATTTTATATTAGTTCAATAAAAATTTTATTATATTTTTTATATTGATTTAATAAATTTTATTTTATTTTAAAGTTTGGTCATTATATTTTAAATAACACCCTGTCCAGTTTCAAACTCGGATCCTGCGTAATGGGGCGCCTGCACATCAATTAAATCCTAATAGTTGTTACGATTAGACTTCAATTATATCAACATATGAAACCCTTTTTAAGGTCATTCATAAAGATATCACGTTTTATTATATGCATATATAATAGATTAAATTTGGTTTATATTTAGAACAACAATCGTAATTACAACTGGTAACTTAGTGTGCATGCATGGAGCAACATCTAAAGTTTAGATACGTATTCACTGATCAGTTCCTGTTAGAAATCTTTTAATAAATAAATATTTAGGCAAAGTTTCGCCTTGTTTTAAATCAAATAGATTTTGGATATTAAATTTCCATGACTTTTTAAACATTAATTATTATATCTGAAAGGAGATTATCTTTGATTTCAATAAACATCCAAAATTCGATTTTTTTTTACTTCTAATAGCATTTATAGCATTTTATAAAATTTATAGTATTTATATAAAATTTATAGTATTTATAACATTTATAAAAATTTATAGCATTTATAAAATTTATAGCATTTAATATAAAATTTATAGCATTTAATATAAAATTTATAGCATTTAATATAAAATTTATAGCATTTAATATAAATTTTATAGCATTTAATATAAATTTTATAGCATTTAATAGCATTTATATGTAGCATTTATAGTAGTTTATTGAAATAGTATTAAAAAAAACCAAGCCCATATCCGTGTAACTCTCGCGTACCGAGAATTTACTTATCAGAATTTTTTGTGCTATATTGTAGTTTGATCGAATCTAGTTTATATTGCAAATAGTTTCCTGTTATTGATATGACCGTATCCGGGTGATCTTTTCAACCGCGTAAGGACGAAATGAACAAGGTAATTGAAAAACTACGAAGGATTTTGCCAAAGTGCTGCACAAAAAATGTTTGGCAAAAAAAGAATTAGCCAAAATTCTACTAATGAAGATGCAGCTATTCATTAAGTGAAAAATGTTCCTGAGCCAATTTTACCATGGAGCAGGCTTTTTAAAAAAAGAAAATCCTTTTTTGTAGCTAAAAAATTAAAAATATAATTTCTGGCCAAAATTAAGAATTTTGAAGATAATCGGCCTAAATTACTTAATGCAGGCCAAATTGCCGCGCATTTTTTGTGCAGCAATAACCGCGTACTTACTAGGCCACAACGGTGATCTCGTGACTTTTGTCTCGCCAAATGATCACACTTTATGAAATATAAAAAAGTAGAATAAAGTACCACCCTTATTATTAAACGCCTGTCCTAATAAAATCACACTTAAAGTTCATTTAAGTCATTTAAGGGGCAATTCGCTTACGAAGGATACAAAAAAAATCTTAAAAATAGAATAGAATTTTATTTTATAATCATTTAATATACAATATCGGAATACAGTAAGATTACAATGAATAGTGTTTTTACTATATAATCTCATTTGATTTCTAATAAATTTATTCGATTTAATTGTGATGAAATCATTAAAATCAGTCCGGTATATATAATATGATATGGATATTTTCACTTTAAAATATAATTATATTATATATATATATATATTACTTATTTTCTCTTCACCAATAATGATTTAACCGAGTTATCCGCGTATTAAATATATTTAAGTTGATAATAAATTTTATAACAATAAATTTTCACTGAGTTCAAATCTGTTCAATCTTTAATTGATCCAATAATATTAAAACCATTTTATTCACAAAAAAAATAATATATATTATTTGTATGCTTTGCAATTAAATGCTTAATTATACAGAGAATAATAATACTTGGAATGCAGTTAAATTATAGATCGATTGGTTACGAAATTCATTGCAAACCGCTAAACTTGATGGTGTATACTTTAACCGATGGTATATATTTTAGTCGCGCAGATATTAATGCTAATCAAAAAATACATAAATAAATTTCATTATCAATATCTTTTATTAATTGCTTTAGATTAAATAGCTTTATATTAAATAGCTTTGGATTAAATTGCTTTATATTGAACAGTTTTATATTGAACAGCTTTATATTAAATAGCTTTATATTCAATAGCATTAGATTGAATAGCTTTAGATTGAATAGCTTTATATTAAATAGCTTTATATTAAATAGCTTTATATTGAATAGCTTTATATTAAATAGCTTTAGATTAAATTACTTTATATTAAATTGCTTTATATTAAATTGCTTTGGATTAAATTGCTTTGGATTAAATTGCTTTATATTAAATAACTTTATATTAAATAACTTTAAATTGCTTCATATTAAATTGCTTTATTAAATAGTTCATAGGAAATTATTCGGACTTCCACCTATAGGGTAAAAAAGTTGTGTCAACCCGGTTTTTAGTATAATCTGTATTACTTGAAACCTGTACAGTATTACTTTTTTGCAATAATGGATATCGATATAACAACTGATTTAATTTCAAATATATTAAATTATATTATCGTTAGACTTTATCGTTATTAAATAACTATTTTTGATAATATCAGCCTATCAAATATCATCGAGTGGGTGTGTATAAAATATAATACATATATATATATATATACCGTATATATATATATATATATATATATATATATATATATACAGTATATATATATATATATATATATTGTAGATATATATATATATATATCTATATATATATTATTTATATATACTATTTTGATTGAAACTAAAAAGACGAAAAATGCGAGCAGACTTAGACTTAGCATATATGATATGTATTAATCTCAAAAAAAGAAAATCCACTGAATCTTTAGAATAAATTTTAGAAATGATCTTTGGATTAATTCTAGTGCATATATTTTTTTTTACTGCATATATTTCTACTACATATATTCCTACTGCATATATTGTTACTTCAATCTTATTCCTACTGCATATATTGTTACTTCGATCTTTTATAAAAAATTTATTTGCATATCGAGATATCTCTATAAAGTAATTTTAGTGTGCTGTGCCCAGTTATACGAACGCCTTAGTTAGTTTAAATCTCAGAAATATTACACATTTGTCAAGTGTTGTATGATTTAATAAAATCACAGAAATGCTCGATTTTCAAAACCATAAATATTTTTTACTCAGTGCTTCCTTTTACGTAATATGTGAAACATGTAAAATGTTTTAATCATAACTAAAACAAGATTACTATTAATTAAATAATAATAATAATAATAATCTTCCTAGATATCTAGAAATGACGATTTAAAATAACGGATCTGGACGCAGAAATGGCTGACATTTCAAATAACGCCTAAACTTAAATATTAGCATAATGTGCGGAATTAAAGATTATGTATCATATGGGGTTTGTCTTAAAAGTTAATCTACATACGTACAACGTACGTACAAACATACATACATACTAATTTATACGCCAATGATCATCATATTAATTTAAATACTAAGAATACTAAATGCTTAGCTTATGTACACGACACCTTTACCTTATTTCGGCCACGTACGTCCGTCCGTACGTTAAGTACTGTACGTATGTATGTATAATAAAAATTGAATTTAACTGATCGTCATTGATGGCGTTCTACCATATTTTCGGGAGTACCAATCTATATTATTGTGTTACATATGTACACACAGACGAATCCCCTAACTAATACACTTATGCATTTAAAATACGTGCGTACATACGTAAGTACGTATGGAATCTGGAATTTATTAAAATTGCCCGCATCTTGGTATATCTTGGTATCTATGTTTTAATCTACTAACCCAAGTATGAAAGATTGGATTTCTTTATTTGTACTGTAAACTACCTACCGGATGGTCCGTTATATTACGGATGGTCCGTTGTTTAGCCATCATGTATTCCGGGGTATATTTGTCAGAAAATTGATTTAAATTACAATGATGTAACACGATGCTGTAACACTTCGTTTTATTAATGATTCATGGATATCCGGATCGTACGCACGTACGTACGTGCGTACCTTTAATTTACATGTGAATCTTTAAGAAAATGACTGTTACATTACGGGGTGATCTAATATTTACTTCAAAATTCGTAATCAGTTACTAAGGCTTGAGTAATTCAAAATACTGTTTATCGTTAATCAATCTTTCAGGGCGTTTCTATTGTGACCGACCGACTCTATTGACCCCATTGACTCCATTGACCTTGTTTTCAAATTTTCCTAATTTATAAATTAGCAATGCTCTGTTAATTTAACCAATAAATTTTGTTTTAAAGATTAATAAAGATTT